AAAATGTGGCGTGGTCACCTCCGCCTCCTTCATCGCCGCCGCCATCTCCGTTTCTGCAGCCGTCAGCTTCAAATCCGTCAATACCATACCCGGCCCGGGCAGAAATGCCGTCTCTTGAGGCGCCCGGTCCAGGACCTCCTGGAAGCACTCCACATTCCTCACACTTTCCGGTGCCTCCACGTGGGGCAGCCCCGGCAGGCTCAGCAGCTCCTGGATGGTGCTTTGCTCGTCCCTTCGCCCCGCCACAATCACGGGCATGGGCCGGTCTAAGTCCAAAGGTCGTGTCCGTCGTTGTCGTTTGCAGCCCATCTCATAGTCCGCGAGGGTCACCACGCCCGAGTTTCGGGCAGCTTGCTCGGCTTTGCCTAGAAATGCGGTGGGTGCGTTGCTGTCGGGCCGGGTCGTTTCCACCCCTTTCTGTTCTGTGGGTGACGGGGAGGAGCTCTTTCGTCGGCGTTTCTTCTTCTGCTTCTCCTTCTGGGCCTTGCGGCTGACGGTTACGTTGCTGCTTCTTTTCCTGTTGTGGCTGCGCCCGCGTTGCTCATGTCGCGTCACCCTCCTGCTGGCACGAGCTCGGGGGGAGGCTGAAAACGCAAGCAATGCTGCCGCTGCCGCAGCTCGCGGTAGAGATCCTTTTCGGCTTCCTCTTTGTCCGCTGCTAGGCGTGACCCCCCCTCTCACACCACAACCGTTGCTACCAAGGCTCGCCTCACCGGGGGGACTGGGGCTCCACAAGTTGCGGAGCCCTTTCAACATTTACAAATGACTGATTGCTCGTTCAGCAAGGGTGGTCAAGCAAAGAGTCGAGCGCCTCGAGGCTGCTGTGGCACGGGCGGGAAGACGGTCGCGGCAGCCACTGCCAAGCTGTACACGCGCCTGTAAAAAGTGTTAAATAGGATTGTGAATCATCATGTGCGTCTCATATCAAACCTTCAACTTAGTGGCCCCCTTTTGGCCACCAAAATGCTCTATAAAAAGGAAGCACAAGTTATGCATTCGATTCCAGGGTATGCTGATTATATACTGAGGTACCCGCCGATGATATCGACTGCTTCGCGCCAAAACTCTGGGCTTTCCCTCTTCTAACACGCGCACTGACTATCTCCTCCCAGGGTGTACACCACCTGGACACACCGTCGGTAAGCAAACGCCACTCAAGCACGACACACGTCGCACCGCCCGTGAAGTGTGGAACACAGCGGAAGTGGTATCAAAAAAGGGAGAATCCTGCGTGTCTCGGCTGCCCTGCTAAAGGCCTCCCCCAGCCTAACGGGTCTTCTCCCCTAAGCAAAATCCTCGATAAACCCTGGAAAGGCGATGTGGCGAAAGGCTCCATTTGACCGCGAATCACGGACGGCGATGCGTGGTGGGACCCTCGCGCCGAAGAAAAATCGGGGCCCCGTGGCAGGAAGTGACTGGGAGGATGACCGGGAGGGGCTTCATCCGCGCCGTCGTCGACGAATGGAAGCATTTCTCTTGGAAGGCTTTCGAAGCCTCGATACCATGCCATGTGAATTGCTGTACACTGCGCTTGTGGCGCTTTCGACCCGCACTTTTGACATTCGCGAAAAGAATGTGGCGTGTTGCAGGCGTTGTGTTGTGCTTGTGGATTGGAAAGCGTGTCATCGTGTCAGAAAACGCCTGGTTTGTCTTTTTTTTCCATGGTCAGGGAGCGGAGGAATTTTGGAGGCTGGTGAAGCATGAAAACGCCCCCCTATCGTGCCCTGGCAGGGAAGGCGTGTGTCTCATTCTTCTTTTCCACCATTACCACCCACCTCATCGGTGACATTATGCCGGCGTTTTTTCGAAGGAATGGTCAACTTGTTGTCTACCTCCCCCGGGAGCATCAGCGTGGCGTTACCTCAGCCTTCCCTGTTTTTTCCTCGATCGTACCCTCACATGCACATTTTTTCACGCGCATCCGCACAGCAGAGGAAGGCAAAAAGCTGCAAATATGACAAACGTAGCGCCGGTAAAGTGGGCTCAACGCTCTGATTCCATCTACGTAACGATTTGCCTGCCCGATGTGACGGACGAAAAGATAGAATTGGGCACCAACTCCTTGGATTTCAAGTAAGTGAAAGAGAAGGGACGCGGCAGAGAGGGCTACATGATGAGGCAGGAGGACCATGGTCTCCGGCTTTGGGGGCAGGGACTCGAGGCCATTGGGTAAGCTAATTTTAACCTTGTCCGTATCACTTTGTCTTCATTCGTAGGGGGAAGAGCAACGGGAAGGACTACGAGTGCCACCTGGAGTTCCTGCGGACGGTCAAAAAGGACGGGTCTGTGTGGAAAGTGTTGCCTCGGAGCATTCAAATCCTCCTAAAGAAGGAGGAGGAAGACACGGGCTTTTGGGAGCGGCTGCTCAAGGACAAGCAATTGGAGAAGACGAATGTCAAGGTGCTGGAACCCCGTTACGACCTCCCCTCTCTCTCTCGGCTTTAACCTCAACCTCCCCTTGTCTCTCCGCCCCTCCACGTCCTCTCTCGCGTCCTCCACCCTCCCTGCCCTCCCCTCGTTCCCGTCCCTGCTCGGCCTGGCTTCTGAGCCTCGCCTACCCCTACCCTTAATCTCCCCACCCCTTCCTTCCCCCTCATCTCCCTTCGGGTCTTCCTCCCCTCCTCCCTCCTTATCACACAGGTGGACTGGGACCGTTACGTCGACGAGGACGAGGAAGAAAGCAACCCCAATTTCGACATGAGCAACCTGGAAGGGGGCATGGTAAGCTCCCCCCCGCCCTCCCTCCCGCCCTCCCTTTTTCTCCTCCTACCGTCCTCTG